AATGTACCATCACCACCACCACTTCCCGCATTGGTCATGTGTCCTCACAAACGCCTGTTCATATTTACATGTCCACTCAAGTGTAAAACGACACAACGTGGTTGAGCGATCTAGTAAACGGTCGTGCCTACCATCTCTGGACTTATTGTCTTTCTGGGTTAGCCTCGCGGTAAAAGGTCCTCAACACGTGCATAGCTGACCACGCCGAGGCATCTAAAATGTTACAACTTTGACTGGACAGTATTTGAGGTGACTTGAGTGCACTTGACTACCTCACCTAAGACGTAAACAAAAAACCTTGAATAAATCGACAACTTATTGCAGCAGCAAAGTCGTAATCGAGAGAAAGCGTAACTACATAAAAAACGTGGTAAACTGGAGCACTCCGAAGGGGGTCCTAAGAAAAGAGCGATTGAGAGCAAACCAAAAATTACCACGACAACACAAAGTAGACACGAGAGCTAGCTACGCATTCTCTGTACAATCGATTTGCAAGAACGTCGGCCCCATCCATGTCGCGGATTTCGTGAAGATACCCCAAATACAAACAGGATTTTGCTACAGAAAGATGACTAGGTCAATTGTTTACACTATTTTTGAATTGTCATGGCTGTGGATCAGTTGCGAACAAGTTGCAGGCAACTCTTCTATTGCAGCATATTGGAAGGGAGCAGTAAATATATCTGGAAGCTTGGCAAGATTGCCAAGACTTTATTGTGCTAATTATTATCTATCTATAACCTTGAGAACACAAACGTGCAATCAAACTGCCAGTCAGGTTAAAATACGCAACCACTTGGTGTAGGTCGGGAAAAGCACCTTAAGGCGCACTAGAGTGTGATTTCATTCGAGAACGCCCATAACAGCAAAGGCTCACATATTTGATGGCGTTATTTGTCACTCTTAAAATCTTTACATGAAAATCAAACAAGGCCCGGATCTTGCTCATAAGGAATCATGGAAACACGTGTAAAGATATTCTCGTGCGCCATCTGAAACTAAGGAAGGAATGATTTGACCGACCACCTCACGGCCCACTTGATGCGATGCCCATCTGCTTCATCTCGATTGACTTCTGCGGCGCTAAAAAGCCCAAACAAACGAATGCCGATCCACGACAATGCTGTGGGAGCAGACGCCCGCCCACCAGGATAAAGATAATGACGACGAGGAAACAAAGACACCACGGAGAAAGTAGATCTGCAGGGAACCCGGTTACACAACTGCTGGACGTACAGTTGAAAACAGAGAAAAAGTCCCGTTTGGAGAAGACTTAAAAGCAATAAAAACTGGACAGGTGGACAAGAGATCGAAACGAAAGGATAAAATTGCAGCGTAAACTAAAGGAATATTTTCGAGGATCGCCGAAAAAGAAAAAAACAAAGTGAATAAATCAACGATTTAGGTTGGAAAATTATCATCAGAAACGTTGAGTCGAACGTGACATTTTTCAACTCACAAAAACCAAGTAATGCGTTAATTCAGGCTAACCTGCGTGACAGTGATGAATACGATAATTCGCGAAATGGCATATATACAAAAGTGTGAAGTCAACACACAAATATCAGTGACTTGACGCAAAATAAGTCGACAGATAATATTTTTTAAGCAAGGATTTGATAATGCGAAGGGTATATGAAAAACGCTCTAGTAGACACGCGGCCATGTTGAAAAGAGTTGAGTAACGGATAAAAATGTAAAATCAGCACGAAGCACAAACACCAAGCTAGTTTTGGTGGTTTGATTAAACCACAGCCTGAGCCGTAAAAGATTGTAGTTTTGGTGAAAAGCGAAGAAAATACTCACACAGATCAGATCACGTGACTTGGTTCAAACATTAGCCAAGCGTGTTTGTGGTGTCGCCAACACCACCTACGCGTGCGCCATAGTACCCACGAAACACAAGGTCACATATGCGCATAAACGAGAGCAGGTCTAGCTACGCACTAGGTATTAAGTTAAAATAAAACCGATAAAAAACTAGACTTCTGTGACGTTAAATAAGATTAACTATGCAAAACCTTACATTAGTTGGGCAAATGAGCAATAAACACGATCACTAACATCTATTATCAACGCCGGTAATCGTGCAAGCATAGCAGGTCCGAAGTCGCATACCACTTAATTCTAGGCTGCTTACTAATAGTCTCTAAATTAACGCTTTGATCGCCACCTGAAGTTCAATTTCAAAACTTCATTGCAATTATGGTGGCATGAGTTGGGAATTGAGGCATAGCAGTAACCGACGACAGAGGTTTCTGGGAGTTTCCACCCAAGTCTATGAGCTTGACCTCGAGTGAATCTTATTTCCGCTTGCTGCTAAATTTGCGCCTATTTCAGGTTATGTGATGAAGATGTCAATCACGTAAATGGCGATGAGGCTGTGGTGACTCGAACTCTTGAATATATAATGGGCCCAGGCAACTTGGGTCCGAAGCATGAAATCGTACAGGTCCTTTAAATACGAATGATAACGTGATTACCGTTTATCCTTTTCCAGCTCTGTTATGCGATTCCGAAGCCGTTGATTTTCTTTGTGGCAATCGGCTACACGGGATTCAAGGTTAGAAAGGTACTCCTGTCTACGTGCGCGACTTGCTTTGGCAGACAACTTGTTGCGAATTTTCCTCCGCATAGTCCTAATAGCTCGCTCCTCGGACCGCGTTAGCGGAAATGTTGTGGGCACACGCTGACCCATTTGCACCAACAAACGCTTCTCCTCCGCAGTGAGAACAAGCCGTTGGCCCTACCGAAACAAGATGTTTTGAATTAGTAAAACGCACATGCGTCCACTGCGAAAATAAAAAAAGTAACGATGCATGTTTGATTGAATAAATGTGGTCAGTATACCACCTATTTCGTGTTAAGTGCAAATAACGCAAAGAACGCCCTTATTCCAAAAAAATTATAAAGTAACCTTTCGGACTAAGAGAAACTCAGTGGACTGCGAAAATTCCTGGGCTGCTTTATGCAAATAATTTGTTGTAAAGTAGTGATGCATGACCTTTGTTGTACTTGTGCAATGTAGCTAGAAATATTCGCTTATCGCCGAGTTCTTTCCTTGATAATATTTCCAAAGTATAACCTTAGTTCATGACATTCAATTGTCTGTATTTAAAAAAAAGCATTCCAAACACTTGATGAAGCTGTAAGCTAGGGAATTACTAACAGGTTTCCCGCGGACCAAATCTTCATTGTGTAAGTAGACCGATGCACCAGCGTGGTTACTCCCTCGACCGCGCTTTTTTGAGGACACCGCCCTTTCGATGTACTCTTCGTCACCACTGCCATAAAGATCAAACCTTTCCATGTAGTCTGTGTCGGAACAACAAGACAAATTGTCATCTAAATTTTGAGTCATGGGAATTGCAGGATCAGAGGAGGAATCCGATTCGTGCCTCGTTGATCTTGTCTGGGGAGAGAATTCGTTAGAGGAATTGGCTGTGTCAAGGAGATCCAGAAGGTCGAGAGGAATATCGAGATCGGCAGGTAATTGATCACATGGAGTTACAGGAGATGAGCCAGGTAGTGTTGTGGGAATATCTGCAGGTTTAGCATCAGAAAGATTCGTTCCTACTGGCGAACTGTTGTCCAGAAAGAAGGAAAAAAGATCGTTGGCATCCACTGAATCGAGATCGTAAATGGGAAGATGAGCAGTGGGAGGGGGAATCTTGGTTTCAACAACTTCCTCCTCATGGTGGAAGTTGATAATATCAGTAGGGCACGCTTCCTCAATTGACTGAAAAAGAGGCGACACTGGCGCCTGCTGAGGGGGCGTATCGTCAAGAAGGAATCGATCTTTCAAGCTATTCAGGCTGTGAGAAATCTACGAATTAGTTTAAAGGTTATGACATGTGACTTACCCGCTCTCCGATCCGGGGAACTATGACAGCGGCTGAACTAATTTCGTAGTCCATCCCTGTTCTACAAAAAACATAGAATGATTATTCAGAATATTAAGTGGTAAATAATAGCTCCACGAATTAAACCAGCAGAAGTAAGGTTGGAAATTATCTTCAAACACTATTCATAGTGGTAACTATATAATTAAAAGGCCATGACACCATAAATAAATATATGCACGAAACGGTCAGACAGCTAGGAAATAAGAAACTAATAGTTGAGCTAATATATCTAATATACACCTGTATTTTTATGTTCGGATAGCCTACAAACCGTCTTTCATTTAAGCCACATTGTAGGCACGAATACATACAACAAACCAGAAGCAGCAGAAAATAAATTGACAAATAATACTATAAGGAAACAACTACAATGCGGTACGGAAAACATAAATGGATCTAGTCGAAAGAAAACTTGGATGACGTGTACAAACGAACCTGCGCAAGAAAGCCCGTCCGAGACACCCTTAATTGGATAACGTAAGCACCAAAGAAATGCGCGCGGTAAAAACCTTTAGTTTAAATCAGATCAGCATCCAGACACAGAAATGTTTTTGTATGAAAGTATGGGGTCCATGTTAACTTGTGTTACTCAAGGCAAATATTCCAAAGGCTGACCTTTGAATGTTAAGAAAGGATCAGAGATATTTTAGAGGCAGAATTAATTGAAAATAGCACTTTTCAATTCAATGTGACTTAGAACTGCTATTGAGTCTCATTTAACAGGGCCCTACAAGTGAAATTAGGCTGTCTATGCACAGTAATTAATAACACTAGTTTAATCAACCGCATGCGCAACTAAGGCAGGAACCCAAATATTGTGACCAACAAAAGAATGAATTCTTAAGAATATTAAATAATAAAATAGGCCTTAAAACTTGCGAGTACGCTCTTGATTTTTAGATCATGCAAGTTAATTTTCATTTTGATTAAGGGGTTTTTTATGCGTTATTCTCAACCTAAAAAAATTAGGCAAAGTCCAAGCAATATTCAGGAAGCATTTTGAGTTTCGATTTTGCTATGCTTTGCTATATACAGCCATGTTTTGAATTTATTTAAACCAAATACGTAGAACACATTACGTTAAAACTCAAAATCTCTTCCAGTGAGTTAACGCATGCCTTTCTAGAATGAATCTGTCTTCTACATGGAAAAACAGCTTTTAAAACCAAAAATTCCGTTGCTGCAAATGCATTGGCTTTGAATGCGTGCTATATATATCCTCCCTACTAGGACTAGGACTGCGTAGAATACCCAAATCCTAGTATGATGGAGACTGGTTCAACAGATCAGGCTTTATTGATCAATGAAAAGTGAGATTTTTATTTTAGGCGCTATTCATCCGAGTCCACTATGCTGGCTGAGCAGCCCATTGTATTCTGCTTTTCACACGTATCTGTCCCTGGTCGGCTGCACAACATCCTGGCAAGCCATTCGAACTTAAAGGGTCAGTGGATCGGCTGAGGCCGCCATGACCACAAAAGCGTTGCTAATGAAGAATACCCGAGTCCTAGCACGAAGAAGACTGGTACAACAGAACAGGCTCCATTTACCACCCACAAGCCAGAAGCAAACGTCAGACGCCGTCCACCCGAGTCCTCTACGCTGGCCACGCCGCTCATTATATACTGCACCTCAGTTGTGTCCTTC